TCCTCCGTCACTGAAGCAAGCAAGCCTCATGTTCGCTTCAAGCTGCCTGGCTGCCGGCCGCCATCTTGGCTGGCAGTTAATTTGCATATCGCCCTGATTAGCCAATGGGAAGGGTAGTGGAGTGACACCAATTTGCATGTTTCTCTTTTATTAGATAGGATTCTTTATTCCTTTTTCTCTTTACTTGGTTGTCATCCCCATTAGAATTGGTATATTATGATGGCAAAGAACTCATTTGTTTTCTTGCTATGCCATCCTCAATTCATAGCATTATATCTAGCTAGCTGCCCCAGTTTCCTCATCTGTAAAAATGTGATGGCTTATAAGTGTGATTTTGTGACCAACAAAAGAAAGTGCATCTAAATGTTTTAAAAAGTACTAGGCTGTAGTGGTTGCCAAAAATGTTAATTATATATACATATTTTTTCACAAACCAAATCTTCTTCATGCTAAAAGTGTTTGATTACAAAAAGGAATAAACATTGTGTTTAAAAATCCATTCAGTATATTGAGATACAAAAGTTTTATATATTTTATATAATGGATACCAATGATGTAATTTATATACTTCATGGACAGTATACACATATAAATATTCAATAATAATCGGTATCACAGGTAACAGAAATTACATATCTATTGAAATACTAAATGTGGCTTTCTATTTGAATACAATTTTGTTAAATATCATCAAATTAACAATAAAAAATAAAATGAATAAAATAAAAACATATTTCTGACTGTGTGTGTGTGTGTGTGTTCATTCAATTTAATGAGATGGCCTTGCATAAATAAAAATTGGCTTTAATGTAACTTGAACTGGCAAATAAAAATATGCTATTATTAGACAAATGTAAAGTAAAAAAAAATGTGTACTTTACTAAATGTCCAATTATAGGCTGACATGTTTTTTTCTCATTATTAGACTATCTATAAAAATTTAAATTAATATAATGATGAACAATTATAAAATATCTTTGGAAATCAAAATAGCTTACATCATTACTGCTTTATTAAAAACTGATATTGTAATTATTTGAATAATATATTCACCTGTATTAATCCTATGGTCTTATGATCACAAGGGACAAGGAAACTAAGAGCAGTTACAGACATTATACCACTCATTTCTAAGGAAAACTAAATATAAAGCAATGCATTTAAAATACTCAATTTGAAAAAATAGAAGAATTCTAATACTTTTTAAAGGACCTTTTATTACAAATGGTATTATTTCCACTACTGACACTTAAGGCTTGGCAAAATAGTGATTCTATTAGTGGGAGAGAAATTTCAAGTGAGAAAACCATTCTAGGTTGAAATAATGATGCACTGCAAAGCAGGAGGTTCTTGGGAAGGAAGAGAATGTTGGTGAACTGGAGGGAGTAAGGAAGATTTGAAGAAGTTCCCTAAACATACTGTTTACACCAAACCCAAGCACACCATTAGAATACAACTCATCCTGAAAAAGCATTTCTGAAATATAATGCTTTACAATGTATTTAAGCTGTCACTCTTTCATTTGGACATTCTTGAAATTAAGACATTTCATTTTCATAACTTTATAAAAAGTAATGAAATAATGACATTCTGTTTTATCTTTTTTCCTATCATATTTCATATAATCATTTTCTAAATAACAGTGTCTACTGCTGTTGATTGCTGTCTAAATTAATTAAGTCTTCTTGTGATTTTTAAATAATAGTTTTCCATGCTTCTTTAATAATTTCATGCTCTATTTTCTCAATTAATATTTATAGCTATGGGCAATATGCTATAATGAGGAAGGTTCATAGGTTATAGAATATGATTTTCTTCTAAATGAGGACTGATAGTTTAGATGCCATTTGCATAGTAAAGAAGAGAGAGACAGATTTATTGTAACCGTTTCTATTTTCTATTTTCCTTCAGGTTTATATCAGACTTAATTATGTCAATACAAAAATATTTTCAAGTATAATATGCCTTTGAGGAAAATAGAATGAAGTAATTAATAATTTAAGAGGTTAACCTAGTATTTACTCTTTTTAACTTTTCCAATTTTATTAATGCACATTTTTACAATTCTCCAAGGATGTATTTAAAATTTTAAAAAATGTATTGGGAAACATTTAAATTACTCT